GGAAGGGAGAGAGAGGGAGGGAGGGAGAGACAGACAGACAGACCAAGAGAGACAGAGGTGGGGGGGGCAGAGAGGGAGAGAGAGGGAGAGAAGAGAGAGAGAAGAGAAGAGAAGAGAGAAGAGAGAGAGAAGAGAGAGAGAGAGAGAGAAGAGAGAGAGAGAGAGAGAGAGAGAGAGAGAGAGAGAGAGAGAGAGAGAGAGAGAGAGAGAGAGAGAGAGATTAAGTACTTTGCCTAGGGTGGCTAAGTGGTGCAGTGAATAGAGTGCTGGACCTAGAGTCAGGAAGACTCATTTTCCTAAGTTCAAATCTGGCCTCAGATACTTACTAGTTGTGCGACACTGGACAAGTCACTTAACCCTGTTTGCCTCAGTTCCTCATCTATAAGATGAGCTGGAGAAGGAAATAGCAAACCACTCCAGTATCTTTGCCAAGAAAACTCCAAATGGTTCACAAAGAGTCATACACCACTAAAAAAAACTGAAAAACAACAACAACAATCAGGGTCAAAGCATCAATCAACCAACAAGTATTTATTAATTGCCTACAATGTTCTAGATGCTTCGCTAAGTGCTGAGGGTACAGGTACAAACAATATCTACTCACAATGCGTTTACATTCTAATGGGAGAGACAAAAAATACGTATAAAAATGTACCCAGCCAGTAAGTGTCTAAAGATTGGAACTCATCTTCCCATCTCTACCCACTGTAACAAGCTGCCTCTCTAAACACATGTATCTTATTGACACAGAATTTTCTTAAGATTCAGTTGCCACGGGGCAGCTAGGTGGCGCAGTGGATAGAGCACTGGCCCTGAAGTCAGGAGGACCTGAGTTCAAATCCGGCCTCAACCAAACACTTGACACTAGCTGTGTGACCCTGGGCAAGCCACTTAACCCCAATTGCCTAAGAGCAAAAAAAAAAAAAAAAGATTCAGTTGCCAGATGAAACACCACTGATGTTACCGAGAATATTAGCAATTGAGCTTCAGTAATGAACAGTGATCTCGGGTTACAAGTGTGTGTTTAGGATTAAAGTTCTTACTGTAATCAATGTTGAGAATTGCTGGCTAATTTCCACATCAACCAATTCTGTGACTAATCTCCAATGGTGCATACTTCATATGAAACTGGACTTTTTCAAAAGGTTTCAAATCTATCACTTTATTTTGTCATTGCAACAGCCCTGTGAAGTCATATGGCATTCCAAGATGTGTTTGAGCTATTGGACTGTTGTCTACTGTCAGACTTCCCACATGTGGGCTGATGGCCTGCCTGCCTTGCCTCACATATGGATGCTACCATAGTCTCAATTCAATTCATTACATTTTATTTTATTGGAAGACTTTTTTATTTTTTTTACAAATGTCACCATAATTAGCTCTATAATTAGTTCTGATATTGGAATGGGAATCTCTGAAGTAAAGGGTAAAAAAAAGCTTAACTTTTTGAAAACATGAATAAAACAAAAGGTTTGTAACAGTCAAAACAAAAGAAGCAGATTTTTTTGATCTTCATAATTATTTGATTCTTATTATTAGGGATAACATTTGAAGCATAACAAAGGGAGTTGTATGTCCACTGAAGGCACTCACCACTGTTGTGGAGACTGCCACGTGCAAAATCCAAATGGAATAGGGATTCCCTATAGGGTCGTTGTTGAGTCATTTTTCAGTTGTATCTGACTCTTCATGACTGTATTTGGGGTTTTCTTGGCAAAGATACTGGAGTGATTTGCCATTTCCTTCTCCAACTCATTTTACAGGTGAGGAACCTGAGGTAAACAGGGCTAATTGACTTTGCCCAGGGTCACACAGCTATTAGTGTTTGAGACTGGATTTGAACTCAGACACCTCTGATTCCAAGGCTGGTGTTGTATCTACTACGCCACCTAGCTGCCCAAGAGTACAATGGTGATCGGTGAAAGGACAATTTTGATGGAGCTAAGGTGGTGTGGCAGAGAGGATACACTGTCAGAAAGGCCTAGCTTCAAATTCTTATGAAAGTTAATAAATTTCTCTAAGCCTCAATTTCCCCAAATGGAAAATGGTGATGATAATATCTGCAGTTTCTATTACACACAGTTGCTATGTGTAATGAGATGATGTATATGAAGAGCTTTGCAAAGTTTAAAATGCTTAGCACAGTGCACGGTGCATATCAGTGCTTAATAAAGGTTTACTGATTGACTGACTGACTATATAAAATCAGTTGCAATTATTAGAGTGGTAGAGTTAGAATCCAGAATACCAAATGAAAAGATTCAGGAGTGATTGGGAAACAAGAAAGAGGAAGCATTAAGTATAGCCTACTCTTTTAGGAGTTGCACAATAAATGGGGAAGTAAGACATAGCATGATAGCTAGGGGAGCTGGGTGGAAGGATAAAAGCTTTTATAATAAAATGTAATAAATAATAGCACTGTATTAATTAATAATATTAATGTCAATAATATAATAAAATATAATAAAAGCTTTTGCTTTTATAATGCCAACAAAACCCATGATTATTATATCACATTAATTTAATTATTTTCCTTAATAGGGAGAGAGTACCATATTGAATGGGCAGCTAGGTGGCTCAATGGATAAAGCAACCAGCCTGGAGTCAGGAGGACCTGAGTTCAAATTCAGCCCCAGATACTTACTAGCCATATGATCCAGGCAAGCCACCTCACCCTGATTGCCTCAGTTTTGTCATTTGGAAAATGAGCTGGAGAAGGAAATGGCAAACCACTCCAATATCTTTACCAAAAAAACCCCAAATGGGGTCATGAAGAGCTGGACGCGACTGAAACAACTGAATAACAATATCATATTGAAAATAAATTTATGAGATTTATATAGAAAACATGTTTCAAGTCAGTTGAGAGATAATATGGTACATTGGCTTTCTACTCTGAACTTTTGGGGTTTTTTTGCGTTTTTGGTGAGGCAATCAGGGTTAAGTGGCTTGCCCAGCGTCACACAGCTAGTAAGTGCCCTGTGTCTGAGACTGGATTTGAACTCACAACCTCTTGACTCCAAGGCCAGAGCTCTATCCATTGTGCCACCTAGCTGCCCCTACTCTGAACTTTTAGAATCAGAAGGCTTGGGTTAAGATCCAGCCAAGCTCTGCCATTTGCTCTGCGGCCTTAAGTAAGTTACTTATTTTCTCTGATCCTCAGATTCTTCTTCACTAAAATGAGGAAAATATATATATTTTCAGTATTTATCTTACAGAATTATAGCAAGGAAATTATTCTGTGAACATCAGAGTGTGTTAAAAACAAGTTTCACCTAAATTTGAGATTTCACTGATATAATAGAACTCATTACAATAATGGAACCCCTGCACCAGGGCAGATGAGCATCTCCTCTGTTAATGGTACACTTAGAAAGTGGCATGGAGTTTGGGAGGGGTGGAGAGGAAAAAATGCAGCAGCTTTCTGAGGCCATGGAGGGAGGATTGACCTTGGAGTCAGGAAGACTTAGGTTAGAATTCTAATTCAGATACTTATTTATTAGCTATGTGATCTAAGCTACTTACTATTTCACTGCCATCGTGTCCTACTATATAAAATAAAAATAATAATAGCCTTTACATCATATAGTTGCTGTGAGAACAAAATGAGAAAACATATGCAAAGGATTTTTAACTCTTAAAGTACAATATATTTATTATTTTTATTACTATCGTCAATATCATTATAATTATTATTCTTGAAAGTCAAGTGACTTGCTCTTGGTCACATAGCTAGAAGGTATCATAGGTAGGACTTTCTTTAAGCCAGTTCTGTAGCTAAGTAGAAGAGTAGATAGAGTGCTGGGCCTGGAGTCAGAAGGACTAGAATTCAAATATGGTCTCAGACACTTATTAGCTGTGTGACCCTGGGCAAGTCAATTAACCTTTATTTGCCTCAGTTTCTTCTACTACAAAATGGAGATCATAATAGCATGTACTTCACAGAGTGTCAGAATCAAACAAGATGTTAGTAAAGCACTCAGCCCAGGGTCCAGCACTTTGTAAGTGTTTAATAAATGCTTATTCCCTTTCCCTCATCCATTCCTTTCTTCCTGATTCTAAAACAGGTCTCTTTCAATACTACTGCTCTAGGATGTTGTGTAAATGTGAGTTATTGTAAGTGTATGTTATAAGAGCAACGAAAGTTCACATGTATGTTTGTTGTTGTTAAGTTACTTTTCAGTCACATCCAACTTACAATGGGTTTTCAAGGAGTTGGACTTTTCTTGACAGAGATACCGGAATGGTTTGCCATTTCCTTCTCCAGCTCATTTTAAAGATAAGTAATTAAGGCAAACATGGTTAAGTGCCTTGCCCAGGGTCATACAGATAGTAAGTGTCTTAAGGTTGGATTTGAACTCAGGAAGAGGAGTCTTCCTTAGTCTAGGCCCAGAACTCTATCTACTGTGCAACCTAGCTGCCCCACATTTATACAGTAGTGCTTTAAGGATTATAATGTGATTTGTTTGGTTGGTTTTTGCAACAACTCAGGGAGGGACATAGAGTAAATATTATTATTTCTATTTTATAGATGAGACTTGGGAGAGAAGTAACTTAGCCCTATTGATAGATATAATAGGTATGAATGAGATTGAAGGGCTCAGGAGGTCAAAATAAAGAAGAGCAGATCCATGTTCACAGGGGTATCATAACAAGGAGGCTGTAATAGATGAAAGAATAACATAAAATAGGATGAAATTGACTTTGGACTCCTGGGGATAAAGTGTTATTGACAGCACACAATAAATGGAATATTGGGGGCACTTAAGAAGTTTTCATGTTTCCTAAAAGGAAAAAAAAAACTTCAAAAGGGGACAAAGAACAAAGAGAAAAGTCTGGACCTTAAAACTTCTAAATACCCTAGAATTTAGGTTATTTAGGTATGGGAAAGGAAGGGAATCCCCAATAAATACCCAGAATTTTCATATCAACAATTTCCCCTTTAACATATTGACTTGGTCATTTCCAGAAAAGCAAGATAGTGATAGGTAGGTTTTTACCTGAAATTCCCTTAAATGTCCAGTTCTTTTGGTCACTTCTTCCTCAAAGTCCTTCCTGTTGCTTATCAGCAACACCCCAAATACCGAAATGGTGACAAGAGAATCATTTCCATTACCTATGGGGATTAGAGTAGTTTAAAATTTCATTTAAAAAGTAATGAGATTGGTGAGAGTTGAGTTTTAATGGACAGCTAGATGGCACGTGGAACAGTGTGTATGACTTTGAGTTAGGAATATAAGTTCAAATGCTGCTTTTGATACTTCCTAGCTATAACCACACACATCCTTTGACCCCTTAGCCTTAGTGTTCTCATGTGTAAAATGGTGATAATATCTTTACAGGTGATGAGGATTAAGTGAGACAGTAAATAATCGTGCATACCTTCAAGTACTATTAAATGTAGTTATTATTACCATATTTATATATACATGGCATGATGCACAGAGAGTCTGTTAGCCTTAGAGTCAGAAAGATTCATGCAAGATCCATCTCTGACATATTCTGGCTCTGCGACCTTGCGTAGGTTATTTAACCTTTGAGTGTCCTGGGAACACTCACCATGAGTGACCTATACTAATGAAATCATGGGTAGGGACAAACATATATAAACATAATATATATACATACCCACATATACAAAAATGAAAACAGTCCCCTACCTAAAGGAGCTTAGATTCTATTTGGAGAGATATGTAAACTCATAAATACCTACAAAATAAGTATTTGTATGTGTACAAATATTTCACATGTACATACACATACACACAACCTGCATGTAAGTCTATATGCATACGTGTATGGACATATATGTACATTCATGTACATATAACGCAAATATAGTTTACTTCAGCTTCTATCTGTTTACTGTGACCCACTGATCTATGCTTGGCCTTGTACTATTTAACATTTTTAAAAAAATAACACTATGAAAGGCATATATAGAATGCTCATCATATTTGTACATGACATGAAGCGGGGAGAGTTAGCAATGCTCTGCATAACAATCAAGATTCGAAAAGATATTGACAAATTAGAACCTTGGGTTAAATTCAATCAATTTAAATACAAAGTCTTACATTCGAGGTGAAAAAAAAATCTGCTTCAAAGAATAAGAAACCATTTAGCTAGAAAACAGTTTCTCTGAACACAGTTTGAAGTCTGTTTTTGTAAACAGTCCCAGTATAATATGGCAATAAAAAGGCTGATGCAGTTCTAGGCTGCATTAAGTAACATCCGTATAATGTATAGTCCTAGGAACTTCTTATTATGACTGAGTCCACCATAGTCAGACCTCATCTAGAGCATAAGATTTTCAGAAAGATGTTATGTCAGCTGGAGAATGATCAGAATAGGGCAACTAGGAGTAATAGGAGGCCTTGAGATCATACCATATACGGATCAATTGAAGGCACTAGATTTGTTTAGCTGGGAAAAGAGAAGACTTAAGGAGGATATGTGACCTGTCTCTGAGCACATAAATGGTTAGAAGAGCTAAGAACAGAGACCTGTTCTGTTTGGCCCCAGCAGGCAGAACTAAGAGAAAACAGAAGAATTTGTCAAGTAAATAGGGAAAAAAACTTCCTTTTAGAACTATCTGGAAGTGGTATTGGGGCTGCCTTATAAAGTAATGAGTTCTTACTGGAGTTCTCCAAGCAAAACCTGGATGGCCATTTGTCAGGGATATCGTAAAAACTAGTTATGCTCCTGTGTAGTCAGAACTAGATGGCTGCTGAGATGGTATGACTCTGAGACAACAGGATGTTATTAAGGTATGAGACTGATTTTCAATCAGTCAACTCATTTCTTGAGCCATATCCAATCAATTAATAAACATTTGTTAAGTACCTACTATGTGCCAGGCACTATGAAAGATGTTTTGAGCTGCAAAGATAAAAATGAAAATAGTTCCTTACCTAAAGGAGCTTAGATTCTATTTGGAGAGAAATGTAAACTTTTAACTATCTATCAAATAAGTAGATGACACATACCAAAATAAATGGAATTAGTAAGCAAGTGTTTATTAAATGCCTACTACATTTTTGATATTGTGCTAGGTACTATAGATGTAAAGACAAAAGTAAAATGATTCCTGCAATTTCTGGGTCTCATGATTGACAAAATGGAGGACTATACATTTTTCCAGTCCTAACAAACACTCAAAAAGATCCCCCAAAAAGAATTATGCTTAAGAGGCAAAGCAACTGCATTTGTCCCTACAGGCCAAGACAGCAAGAAACAATAAGATAACAATCTTGTGAACTAATAGCAGAGAAGACTAACCCTTAACCCACTCACTCACCACCCCCTATCTTACTAGCCTCATTCTTTATCAGGGTGGACCCTGACACTAGCTTGTTCTCTGGGATCTGTTCTTTGCTGACTGTAGAAATTTCCTCACTGCTACAGTCTCTGCTGACAAACCTTGTTCTTGCCATTTACTCCACCATTTTGTGGTAACAAGCAGCACAGCTCAACTCAGTCCACTCATTTCTGGAAGAGAAAGAGGTGTAGGAAAGTATATAGCATTTTACCTGGGATAGTAGCATGTTGCATCAGTGTGCAGAAAGACAATAAAAGAAAAAAAACTAGGGCAGGGTGCCAACATAAGTGGGAAAGTGGGCTGCACTAAGCCTGAAGAAAGGTGATTTGTATATAAGTTGTGCCAGTTCTGTCCCCTCCAAAATGGGGCAGAGACTGAGGCTGATAAAAATATAATAATTCCCCAAAGTGAGAGGAGGATGAGGCAGCTTTGAGGTCAAACTCTAGAGGAAAGGAATCAGAAAATGAGTAACAAGGAAAAGTACTGAAAACTATCAAACCTTTCAGGCGGAAGAAAACTTAATTAAAATTGAGAACACAAGCAGTTAAACCCACAGGGAAGATCTTAAAATAGAAAGGAAGATGGGCACCAAGACATCTAAAAGTTTGCAAACATCTCTGGTTCTCAAGACAGTAAAGAACCACAGCAGAATGTTCCCAAATACCTCAAGAAAGAAATGAAAATTTTTCTGAAAGGGAACAAATGGCAGATTTATGATATGCATACCACAAATAATTAGTAAAATAGAAAACTTGAATTCACAGTGGCAAATCTTTTTATACCACGTGAAAGAGATAAATGATTAGGAATACAAATAAACTGAAAGGAAGGACAAGTTAGAAGAAGTGGAGCAAAAGGCAATAGCATTAAAAGACACATAATTCCTTAACAAGCAAAATACATTAATCTTTGAAGATGAGATAAATAGAAGATTTACATGCCCACCAGAATGCCCCTAATTCAAAAAACCTGAACACCATCATGCAGGAAATAATACAAAAAAAACTTTCCAGAACTTCTGAATACAGAAAACAAAGTTCCAATTGAAAGAATCTAGATTGCTTTTAGAAAATCAAAATAAAACAAAAGACAACCATATGTTACAAATGCCAAAACACATAGTGAAGGGAATCATAAACAATGAACCAATATTAATATTAATTTTATGCTCCAAATGCATTAGCACATAAATTCATAAAGGGAAAAATTAACTGAATTACAAGAAGACATACACAGAGATACAATAATAGCAGAAGACTATTGTCACTCAGTTTTGGACAAATTCAACAGAAAGACAATAAGGAATATATCGAATTGAATAAATTGCTGATGAAACTAGAGCTAAAAGATGTACCTTCTAAATGAGGCTACTGAAGAATACATGTATTTCTCAGGACTACATAGAACTTTCACAAAAAAATTTACCATGTTAGGGAACAAACATTGCAAACAAATGTATAAGGGGAGAAATGATAAACACAGCCTTTACAGATCATAACACAATAAAAATCATGATCAGTGTAGAGGAGACAAATAAAAGACAGAATCAAATGGACACTTAACAATGATACCCTAAAGAACAAATAGGTCAAAGAACAAACCACAGAAATAATGATTATTAAAAAGACAATAATAATGATAAAAACAATATGTTAAAAAATTTCTGGGATGTAACTAAAGCAATCTTCAAGGGAATATAATATCCCTAAAAACATACATTAATAAAATAGAAAAGGAAAGGATTAACAAACTGAATATGCATTTCTTTTAAATTAGAAAACCAATAGAAAGTCTCTACCCTGAAAGAGTTGGGGGAAGGAGGGGTGACAACCTGTATATATTATACAAATTAAATACAAGGTAATTCCATGGGAGAAGAGGCACTAGCAGCCAAAGGATTTTGGAAAATGAATTCAAGCCTCATTTCTAGCACATTCTGTCTATGTGATAGCTTCTCAGTGTCCAAGGCAATTCTGTAATACACTAAGTTGAAAAGTAATTGTTTATCTGTTTTGCCAATGGAAGATTGTCACTAACAAAATCATAAATCATAGATTAGGACAAAAATATACATACATTCATACATATGTATATATGCATAAACATATACATAGTTGTATGCAAATATATATTTATATACATACATACACATTGATAAGAAAGAGGGAGAGAGAGAGAGGTGTAGATAGATAGATTGCTGTTGTTCTTTGTTTTCTTTTTTTTTTTTTTGCTTTTTGGTGAGGCAATGGGGGTTAAGTGACTTGCCCAGGGTCACACAGCTAATTAAGTGTCAAGTATGTGAAGCCAGATTTGAACTCAGGTCCTCCTGACTCCAAGGCTGGAGCTCTATGCACTGTGCCACCTAGCTTCCCCTGTTGTTCTTTGTTTTCAAAGAGGACCATTGACATCCCAGGGTGATATCTTGACTCATGTAAATTGGATTTAAGTTAGGCAAAGTTGTGCAGAGTCATCAGCTTCATTCTCTCTTCCAGAGTTATTGAAGTCCAGTGGCAAGACAAAAATCAGAACAACTGGTGATAGCTTGAGATGCAGTGGATAACGTTGATGTCTTTGACATCTGACCAAGCTCCAAACACTCCACAGAGCATGCTTTAGCCATGCTGTTGTAACAAATTGTTCTCATCTGCCCATTCCTATAGCGGAAGTCTTCACATGCTTGGGTAGACATCCCCATACCTCACTGGTGGGTTTGAAGCCTGTCAGTTACCTTCAACATAGTTTAATTTGTCTGCCAAGATGGTTTTACCAGATGTGGCCACTTGGCATGCCGCAG